AGGTTCATGCTTAGTTGATCTCTCCTCTATGTGCATGTGCTTCTCACTAGTTCTAGCTTCTCATTGTCAAGTTCATGTGTGTTGTGATGTTCGGATTCATACTTAGTTGATCTCTCCTCCATGTGCATGTGCCTTTTCACTAGTTCAATCTTCTCATTGTCAAGTTCATGTGTGTTGTGATGTTTCGGTTCAAACTTAGGTTATCCCTCCTCCATGTGCAAATGTTTTTCACTAATTCAACCTTGTCATTATCAAGTTCATGTGTGTTGTGATGTTTCGGTTCATACTTAGTTGATCTCTACTTCATGTGCAAATGCTTTTCACTGGTTCAATCTTCTCATTTTCAAAGTTCGTGTGTGTTGTGATGTTCCGGTTCATCCGTAGTTGATCTTTCCTCTATGTGCATATGCCTTTCACTAGTTCAATCTTCTCAAGCTCATATGTGTTGTGATGTTCTGGCTCATACTTAGTTGATATTTCCTCAATGTACATGTGCCTTTTACTAGTTCTAGCTTCTCATTGTCAAGTTCATGTGTGTTGTGATGTTCCGGTTCATACTTAGTTGATCTCTCCTCTATGTGCAGGTGCCTTTCACTAGTTCAAGCTTCTCATTGTCAAGTTCTTGTGTGGTGTGATGTTCCGGTTCATACTTAGTTGATCTCTCCTCTATGTGCATGTGCTTTTCACTAGTTCTAGCTTTTCATTGTCAAGTTCGTGTGTGTTGTGATGTTCCGGTTCATACCTAGTTGATGTCTCTTCCATGTGCATATGTCCTTCAATAGTTCAAGCTTCTCATTATCAAGGTCAAGTGTGTTGTGATGTTCCGGTTCATACTTAGTCGATCTCTCCTCGATGTGCATGTGCCTTTTCACTAATTCAATCTTCTCATGGTCAAGATCATGTGTGTTGTGATGTTCCGGTTCATACTTAGTAAATCTCTCCTCCATGTGCAAGTGCTTTTCACTAGTTCAATCTTCTCATTATCAAGTTCATGTGTGTTGTGATGTTCCGGTTCATACTTAGTTGATCCCTCCTCCATTTGCATGCGTCCTTCACTAGTTCAAGCTTGTCATTGTCAAGTTGGTGTGTGTTGTGATGTTCCGGTTCATACTTAGTTGATCTCTCCTCTATGTGCATGTGCATTTTACTAGTTCTAACTTTTTATTGTCAAGTTCATGTGTGTTCTGATGTTCTGATTTATACTTAGTTGATCTCTCCCCCATGTGCATGTGCCTTTTCACTAGTTCAATCTTCTCATTGTCAAGTTGATGTGTGGTTTGATATTGCGGTTCATGCTTAGTTGATCTGTCCTCTATGTGCATGTGTCCTTCACAAGTTCAAGCTTCTCATTGTCAAGTTCATGTGTGTTGTGATTTTTCGGTTCATACTTAGTTGATGTCTCCTCCATGTGCAAGTGTTTTTCACTAGTTCTACCTTGTCATTATCAAGTTCATGTGTGTTGTGATGTTTCGGTTCATACTTAGTTGATGTCTCCTCCATGTGCAAGCGTTTTTCACTAGTTCTACCTTGTCATTATCAAGTTCATGTGTGTTGTGATGTTCCGGTTCATACCTAGTTGATCTCTCCTTCATGTGCAAGTGCTTTTCACTAGTTAAATTTTCTCATTGTCAAAGTTCGTGTGTGTTGTGATGTTCTGGTTCATACTTAGTTGATCTTTCCTCTATGTGTATATGCCTTTCACTAGTTCAATCTTCTCAAACTCATGTGTGTTGTGATGTTCCGGCTTATACTTAGTTGATATTTCCTCCATGTACATGTGTCTTTCATTAGTTCTGGCTTCTCCCTGTCAAGTTCATGTGTGTTGTGATGATGGGGTTCATACTTAGTTGATCTTTTCATGCGCACGTACTTTTCACAAGCTCAACCTTGTATTTGTTAAGTTCATATATGATGGAAGTGTTCGGGTTCATGCGTAGTTGATCTTTCGCTATGGGATGGGTGACCGACATTTGGCTGCTACTAGTATGAGATGGGTGACCGACATTTGGCTGCTACTACTATGGGATGGGTGACCGACATTTGGCTGCTACTACGGGATGATGACTTGATTAGGATTAGAAATCTCTTCTCTCTCTCTCTCTCTCTCTCTCTCTCTCTCTCTCTCTCTCTCTCTCTCTCTCTCTCNCTCTCTCTCTCTCTCTCTCTCTCTCTCTCTCTCTCTCTCTCTCTCTCTCTCTCTCTCTCTTCCTGTCTCACTCCCGCTCTGTCTCTCTCGCTCTTCGCCTTGCGCTCTCTCTCTCTTCCCCTCACTTGGCATATGACTAACCCCCCTCCCCTCACTTGTTACATTGCCAGGGTGCGAACGGTAAAAAGAGATCAAACCTCACTTGGTTAAGAGAGAGGGCAAGGGAAGGGTAGTCGGTCGCTTGTGCCACCAAGAAGGCAAAGGAAAGGACGTTTGGAAAAGTGGGAAAGGGCGGAATCCGGAGAAAGTATAAGTTGAAGCGAGGTCAGTTTGACTCAACCATTTCCCCGACTGCATGACTATGAGAAGAGGATCGGATGATTGAGCAAAGAAAGGGGACAAAGAGCAGCCAAAGAGCATGGAGAGATAGGCATGTGGGAAGGGTTATGTGTTGACCCTCAACGGGGGATTGTATGAATCTTTGCTTTATCTGGGATTGTGAAGGTAAGTGAAGGCTAAGGATGCCTTGAGCGGGATAGGGCCGGGAGGAACCGGGCATCAAAAGGAAAAGGGAAGAGGGGCAAAGGGCCTACGGGACCCTCAGCATAAAACCAACCCATGAAAATGACCTTTGCATTTGAGACTTGGAGTGTAATTGAGAAAAGGAAGTGCAATTTTGCCAAGGGAAATGTGAAGTTGTGTGTGCATGCATGTAAAGACCCCGAAAAGACTAAGGGGCCTGCGTCAATAGGGTTGAATGAGAAGTGTGAGAGACTCGATGGGTGCGTAGAGGCGAGGGGGAGGACGGCTTCGCCGCACCCCGATGACGCCGGAGGATCACGATACTTAGGGAAATGGTGCGCGGCCTAAGGATGACGCTTAGCCTGCGCACAAGAGAAGAAAAACACTCAAAGAGCCCCTGGATTGCCTGCGTATTGGAAGGAGCAATTGCCTGAGAACATAACTAAGAATCGAAAAAAAATCAGCGTTGATCGAATGACCAGCGAGACTGCCATCCGGCGTGAGGGTTGAGCTACATCCCCAATGTCAAAGCTCTCTCGCACGATGACCCACCCCCATCCATCTCAAAGCACTAGGTGGGGGTGACCCTGGGACGAATGGCCCGTGCCCTGAGCATGAGCGTGGGCGGGCCGAGCCAACTGGGATCCATAGTGGGATTGACTAAGGCTCGAAAGTCTACTGGGGCTTGAACCTACAAAAATGGTGGAGGTGACGGACATGGGGTTAAACTGACCCTTGCGATTCCGACGGGGGCACCCGACGCATTGACGTGTACACAACTCAAGATAAGGAAAATAGACTTGTGATTGCTCTTTCCCTTGTGAAAATTAGATTTGAGAGTGGCTGGGCGCATGGCATGGCCAGGCCTGGAGGTATAACATGTATGCTATGCACTGGATTAGCCATCTCCTTGGGGAATGACTCTAGCCCTCCTTCGTCCGGTGCTGGTGTTCGCTAGTCCGAGGAAGCCTTGGGCAAGTCGCAGGTCGACCCTTCCTCTTCGTATAAAAGAAGGGCTCCGGTTACCTGGCAGTCGGTTGGTCCTTCGGCTTCGACCGAGGTCCAATGAGAATCCTGCGGCGGAGTGATCCGACCGAATGGGTGTCCTCCTCTCCTCTTCTTTGAGCCCAGCGGGCTCATGCACTTTGCACTTTGAAATGGTTGAAGGAACCAACATGAACACAACGGGTCATCAAGAAGGAACAATCCCACCCTATGAAAGGACAGACAAGTGAAGAGAAAAGGGAATGAAGGGAGTTGCTAGACTCCAAGGAAAACTAACTCACCTTTGACGACTCTCACGAAAAGGAACTATCCACTGCGTATGAAAGTAGGGGGAGTGACACTCACTTGTCCTCAGAGAAAATTGCGAGCTATAAATAGGAAGCGTTGGGTGCACCAAGGGAAAAACACTTGTACTCTATGTGTCCCACTTGGAACTTGTGTTTGCATGATGAGATTTGAGCGTCTCGTCTTTCGGAAGGAAGGGATGGGTCTGCACCGGCCGGTGCGGGTTGCGAAACGTCGCTCTCTTTGAGGTTGTCGGGTGTTCGTGTGTGGAGGTCAGGCCACCGAGCTGTCGGACGGGAGTTTGTCACGCCGGTTGATTAGTAGCATTCTCGTCCGGGCGGTCACGAGCTTGGCTCGATGATCTTGCTCGGGCGGGGTGCGAAGCATCTCCTCAGGCGGGGCTTAGCTTGTTAGCGGGCGGGGGGAGTACCACTGCATATGGGCAAGGAAGGAACCTTGGAGACGATTAGTAGCTTCTCGTGGCACGGCTTGGGAAAGGCTGATTTTTGTCGGACCGATGGAAGTGAATGCCCGGACGACTGACTACTGCTCCTAACGGGGTGCGCAGGGGTAATTCCCGGTACCAACGAGGGTAGGCAAAAGCGGCAAAACAGGATGGGGTATTTTGGGCAAATGGAGAGGGGTAACGCCCTGTGCCGGAGCCTGGGTACTGCGCTCACGACGGTTGAGCTGCGCTTGAGGTATGGTATAAAACTCTACCGATAGTACCAGTGGAGAGACCATATTGGGATAGGCCGGTGAGGAGATGACCGGCCCGCATGTGAGATGCCTGATTTTTTTGTTCCCCCTCTGTAAAGATTGATTGAGCTTGGATTGTTGGACGGGGCGTAATTCTAAGTTTATTCTCTCCTCCCCGTCTAAGTCTACACGAGTAAGAGATGATCGGAAGGAAGGAGGATAAAGGTCAGTTGGAATGAAACCAAGAAAAAGAATGTGGGGAAATGGATGGCCGACCGAGGACACTGTGGGAAGGTGGTACTTAGCAATGGGGAGATAAACTAGGGAGACCTTGATAAGGGGTCTCAAATAACTCTCATCTAGGACGAGGGTTGACCTAACCAGAAGGGACCGTTTGGTACTCTCTTATGAAAATAGGGGTGGGGTGATGGAAACAAGATGGCGCGGTGGTTGTCTTCCCCGATCTATACCAGCGGTCCGGAAATGCCAGTAGATGTAAGGGATGGGGTATCGATCGTCCTTCCGGAAGATGGGACGTGGACAAATCTTGAGCCAGCATACCAAACCGTAATGCTGGAAGGGGAGGACGCGTTTCTTTGGATAGAGACAGTATGGGTTAATGTCAGCTTGACAAGGTTGTCGCCAAGTTTAATGAATTTGGAGTTCCGAGGGACAGTGGAAGCCCGGGGGTGGGTCTACTTGTCACAAGACAGGGAGAATGCTATGGTCATAAATTTGGCGCTTGGGAATACGCCGGACGAATTGTTTAGGAAGGCAGAAGCGGAGGTTGTATGGGTTGCGTGTCAGTGGAGGGAAATGGAAATGGAAAGGGTAGATGTGCGAGTGGAACTTGGGGATAGGGGAAGCATGAGGCGACCCGTCAGAACCATGCGATGTGTGCTGCCTCCCTTTCTGGTGGATGCGGTCTTCGGAACCCGGAGCAGACTAGTATGGATATGCCAATCCATGACGAACCTCGGACTATACCAGTGCGGTAGGCAAAATTTCTTTCGGTTGTCGGTAGAGATGAGGCCGTTTGAAGGGAATTGGGCGGAGGAGCTGACTGAGATGCTAAACTGCCTTAGCGTAGACAATGTCTTTGTCCCTAGCTCCGTGCATTGGGGGATAGTCTACAGAAATGTGGCAGTAGGGGAGATATTCCTGGAAGGGGTGAAGGAGTTGTTCTACAGCGAAGAGGGCGACTTCAGTGATGAGGACGAAGATGGTGAGATAGAGGACTGGGACTTCTAAGGAGGGTGACTTACTTAGGGAGACTGAGCGGTCTGGCATTGTGCAGGAAGGGAAAAGATGACTAGAGAGGAATTGTTGATGGAATACACCTTCCAAGGGATGGGAACCAAGGCGACTCAGGGGGGGGATAGAAATGCCTATACCAGCAGAAAATGAGTGGAGAGGAACCACATGCGACTGGGGTGGGTTTGAGGTTGCCCCGGGATTATCATATGTATGGATGGAGCAGATTTGGAACCCGATAAGGGAAGAGGAAGGCTGGGATGAGATAGCAGAAGGCAAAGTGGAATCAGTCGGGACGGGCGTTCTTTTCGAAGATGGGTGGCGCCTATTTTGCACTATGTTAGCAACGGGACAGGATCCAATGTGGCTTCTAGGGGATGCAGAGGCACGAACCCGAAAAGAGGGCAAGAGGTTCGCCAACGAAGGATGGGACGAAGTCAGTAGTAGAGTTGTGATGGGGGGATGGAAGGAACTCAAGCCTTCCGGCCTACGAACAACGGCGTGGGTGCCTGAATTCGTGGCCGAGTGGTTTGGGGGTTTCGAGCACATCGTAGAAGTGGCCGGCTCCATGAAAGAAGTACACATAGAGTGTGCCTGACTGACTGAGGAATTTTATAGGATCTCGTTAAAATATGGGCCCTTCTACGGAGATAAAGCCGGGGAAGTCCTCACCGTCCTGAGGATAGGCAAGTATGACCGCCTAAAGGTAGAGGCGGGGGCTTGGGACGCCATAGTTAGCCGGGAGGCGGCGGCTGCTCCATCCTATGTAGATGATGTCTTTAAACCGTTTGAGGTAATGTGGTTCGATTAAAAGGATCATGAAATCGAACGCCGCAGGGAAGTCGGAGTATGGGGGATGCATGCAAACTAAGGTGTAACATAAGAAAGGGGCATGCACATTAACTAAGCAGGACATGCGAGGGGATTGAAATAAGGGAAGGTGTCCAACCACTGTGGGCGCAGATGTGGGACGGCATGGCAGAAAAAGGGGAAAGGGGGACATAAGCGGAAAAGGAAACAGTAGGAAGATGGGCAGTTGCTTAAGAATGGGCCGTAATCCTTTTCATGTGGACTATGCAAAAAATTAGCGAAACAGCAATGGTGGCAAGACGTGTGCGAATGGAACGCCAACCCCAGTACCCCGGACCGCCCTAGAATAACGGCAGAAGATAGGAAGTGTCTCTTCCGTGGAATGCCAACTTTCGGGGATTCGACGTGGAATGGCGGGCCGTGACTTTGGGGAGAGACAACGCATTTATGTTAGTAGAATGTCGGTGGACGAGGATGAGACTCAACCGGGGACCTGACGATGACCTGTTTTCCAACTTGAAGGTAACCGGGGTCCTGTACCTACCCGAGATTGGTTGGCACTTGCTGGGGATAGGAATAGCGCAAGGCCACGAGCTGGCTCCAGTCTTTCAGAGGGCGGCCCGGATGTTGACGCGGATAGGACAATCAGTCTGGGGTAGAAGAAACGTGGACTTACTTACCAGGGTGGAAATGGGAGGTTGGAGGGAATTCAGGGCATCAACCACACCGCTGAGGTGTCGGGTCCCCCGATTTATGATAGACCTCATCTTCGGAAGCCTTGCAAGGGCGCAGGAGCTGGCAGACTCGACAATAATCTGGGTAGACCACTTCCCCTATCAAACCATCGGGATGTTCTATGACGTTGTTGTAGAACATGGGCCGTTCTGGGGAAACAGGGCCCATGAATTACTGGAAGTTATCCATATCCTAATATTTGGGTTGCCACGGCTGGCCTGGGCGGAATACGAACATATAATCCAGAGGGAAATCGAGATAGGAGAGAGTTATGTAGCGGGGGTGGCTCAACTATTCGAGGAGCCCACCGAACCGGAAGGGCCACAAGGACGAGAACAGGACTAGCATCCGGGGGCGGGCCAATAGGGCAAATCAAGTATAGTCCGCTACGTACAAGGGCTCACCGATGGAAATAAGGAAGGACCTCGGACCCGAACGATAAAAAACCGCTAGAGAATAAAGGGGGGAGGGTAGACTCCTAATGGTTGTCGTGACCCTAGAGGTCAAAAAGGGGAAGCTCGGAAAACTTTCCCTAGCGGGATGCCTAACCAGGACTCCTACGAGCCAGCCCGACGGAACAGGGGCACTCTAAACGAGCCTGTGATAAAGGGAACTAAGTCATGTCCCTTAGCTCGGTAGGGCGGCAGGGCCGGTTGCGGCCCCTTCTTAGGAAAGCAATCAGGAAACGGAAGTGGGGAGAGGACTACTATCCGAATAAAGATAAACCAACGAAGTCGGAACCTATGAAACCTAAATGCCTCGTGCTGCGTGTGTCCTGGGGAATCCTTTGGTTTATGTAGAACTAGGCAAAATGACAACGGAGGATGAGACGGATAACCGTAGGAGCGAAGGAGGACCAGGCTTAGGAGGCAGTGCCGTGCAGAGCGAAGAGGGTCAGAAAGACCGCGAATCGATAAATCCGGATGGTACCAAAGGGAACTGGAAGGAAATCTCCTCAGGGGAAAGCTCGGGGAAAGCCGGGGGAAGCCGGCAAGGGACTCAGGAGACCAAGGAGGGCAGAAATAAGGATAGGACAACCCCCCAGAATTCAGAAGGAGTTGTGTCTAAGAAAGTGAGGGTCAAGGATGCGAGGTGCAAACTAGAGGAGATAGAAAAAAGGACCGCTGAGTACAAGGCAAGATTGATTGAGGAAATGATGACTGGGAACGAGGAAGGCCGTCTGCAGGAAGAACCGCGGGACGAACGGAAAACCGGCCGAGGCGGAATTGGGCAAGTGGATAAGGGTAGTGACCGTGGGGGAACATCGAGCAAAAGAAGAAGGAGAGAGAGAATTCCCTGGGGATGGAGGCAGAGAAAGCTACGAACCCGCCAACTATAAATAGCAGGGCTGGCCGTTTGCCAACTACGCCGGCAGTAACACGAGGATGTGAAGGGCTCTGGAGCCTTAGGGAAAGGGTGTTGGGATGGTTCGACCCGGAAGGGACTTCAAAGACTAGGGAGGGACAGAAGGCCGGCAAGGAAGGGCAAGATACCAGTATGGCAGGCGAGGCTAGTAGCTCCGAAGGCGGCCTTAGGAAGATAGTATCGTCCCTCGCGCGAGCACTGAACAAAAACCAGGGCTACCTAGCAGACGCTAAGAAAAAGTTGACGTTTGACGGGGCGAACATCACGGAATTCCTAATAGATTACGAGAATCTGGCCGCGTTGTTGAAATGGACCGAAGAAGAAAAGATGGACCACCTAGGACAGCATGTGTATTTGAGCCTAGGAGGAACATAATGGCCATCGTAGCCGCGAGTCGATGCTGGAAGGAAACCCGGGATGTAATGATGAGAAAATACCTGGCAGCGGAGAAGATGGCAACGGAGGCCGACTTAGCGGCAGTCCAAAGAAATAACTTCGCAACGTACAATGACTTCCTATGGGAGTTTACCCTGGTAGCACTAAGGATCCACGGGGTTACGGACCGGATAATGAGCAAATACTTCCTCAGGCAGTTCTCCGAGTTCGACAAAGACAAGATCCTGTCGGCTTACCAATAGACGAGCAAGTTTGTAAACACTAGGGACATTGATTTTAACACGGTAACGGATCTGGCCGAGAAGACAGTAGTGACGGAGACATTGGCCTTGCTTAAAGAAGGGGAGGTCATAGATCTGATTGGTAGGACAGACAACAAGGTGAAGAAGGGGATTGAAAGTCTACATGAACGGGTGCACGGAGTCGACAACAAGATTGAAAGGGTGGAGAACGCGCTACTGGTTATGCAGGCGCAAGTATCCCGACCCGCCCTCCCTTCCCAGGAAGCCGTAGTTCCGCCAGGAGTAGCCAATCGAGGATTCGGACGGAGAGATGCCGCTAATGAGCAATGCAAGTACTGCACCGCGGTGGGACATTTTGTGCGCGCATGCCCAAAACTCAACCATGATATGTTAAAAAGGCGATGTACCAGGTCGTTAAAGGGAGAGGTATTCGGGCCGCAGGGAGAACGGGTAAATTGGAACTTAGCAGGGGGGATGCGGCAAGCCATTATCATGCTCAATGGGCTAGCGATAGCGGCCATAGAGGTTGAGTCGGTGGTCGATATCATCTGGGATCAACTTCGGGGCCGCGCGCCGCAGGTCAACTTCATTCAGGAAAACGACGGACGTGATAGGGTGAATGCGGCTACTCGGCTAAGGACGGCTGGGAGAAGGATTATCCGTGACACCGTGATGGAGGAGGTTGCTAGAAGCTTCATACCCCTGACAGAGCCCGAGGTCGGGGAACCAGAGAAAGTCTATGGGAAGCCCAGGGAAGAGGAGCCTACGGACAAAGTTACCGCTGCTAAAAAGAAGTTTATGTATCAAATCCCAATCTTAACCATGCCTGAGATCGATGACACCCTTAGCAAATTACTAGGAACCATGATGTCGATGTCGTTTCATACCATGCTGCAGGCCAGCCCTAGGTTGCTCAAAGGGCTTAAACAACTGTTGACTCGGCGGCGAGTAGAGATAGACGAAAACCCCGAATCACCGGAAGAGGAAAGGGAGGAGGAAGCTCCGCAAGAAGTCGCTAACCTTCAAAGGAGTTGCGGGGATTTGAAGGATCTCGAGAAAGTCTTTGCGGACATCCGCCTGGGTTTGCCAGACCGAGAAGGTGGCGAGGTCATGAGGGCACCTCCCGGAACAAAGCTCAACTTTCATGCGCTACCCGTAGGAAAATTAAAAATCCAGATCGGGACCCATTATACCGACGTATTAGTAGACGGGGGAGCGGAAATCACTCTCATAAGGAGGGATTTCGCAACAATCACGGGCTGTACGGTAAATAAGGAAGTAACAGGGAGCATCCGGGGAGCCGGTGGGGAAATCCCATTCGCTGGGTATGTCACGAAATGCGCAGTCAAGGCAGGAATCAGGGAGTCGATCTGGTCGTTTCAACGGATGACAGTAATGGAGGGAATGAACCACAACATAATCCTCGGGAGATCGTGGTGCACAAACGTAGAAATGATAGGCATGCACTTGTACAATGGCACGTACATGGTAGACATAGAGGACCCAGTTACCGGCCGGGGAGAGCTCCTCCGACTCCTTGGGACGGGAGGAGACCCTCTAAAGAGGAAGCTAACAACATGGTCACCATCTTTCGAAGATAGCGCGCGGAAGGGGGCTTTTGCGCGGATGGAGGGCATGAGAGAAAGGGTAGAAATCATGATCGAGAAAGCATTCCATAAGAAGGAATGGATCAAGATGGGCCTGCCCCAGAAGAAGAGGAGGCAGGAGGACGAAGTCTTAGGTGTTATGGTGGCAGAAAGGGAATCGGAAGTCGAACTTGGAGCCAGCCTGCCCAAGTGGAAAGAAGTGCGCATGGACGTGCCATAAGTCCCACTCAAGATTCCCGATTTGTTACAGCTCATCAAGGCTATCAGATACCACAACGTAGGAGTGGACCCGGCGGCATTGGTCAAATTTGAAGGAGAAGTGTAAAAGGGATATTGTCTGAATGGAAAGTTAGTCAGTATTCAACCACGAGTCGTAGAAGCAACGAGGGTAATCCCGACCGTTCATTTTTTAGGAGAAAGATCCCAGAAGGAAGTGTTCGAAAGTACAAGTTGGTAGGGAAGAAAGCAAAACCGGTCTCGATCCTGCTAGAGACATCAAAGGAAGATGCTATGGAAAAGAAGGAGGAAGTCCTAGAGGCGAGCAACGGAAGGGCAACGGATACCAGATGAGGTAGCTGATACAGTGAAGATAGGGGTAGAGGGATTTTTAACGGAAGCAGAAACCTGCCTGATCAAAATGACCTACCAGGAGTTTCACCTGGCATTTGCCTTTAGTGATCACCAGAAGGGGGAAGTTAGACGCGACGCTAATTCCTCTGGTCAGGATCCACACGGTAGAGCATGAGTGCTGGAATGACAAGGGTCCGTTCTATGAATTTGGGATAGCGGGGGAAGTGACAGACCTTCTTCGAGCAAAGGTGGAATCCTTCGTCGCAGAACCTACGGCGTCGCCATACGCGAACCGGTGGTTCGTCTTTCGGAAACCCAACAAGATGCTGAGATGGATTCAGGATCTGCAGAGGTTGAATGCGGTAACCATCCAGGATGCTGGCTCGCTGCCTCAGGCCAATTTATTAGCAGAGTCGCACGCCGGCCGGAGCATTTACTCCCTGATAGATCTGTACTCAGGGTACGACCAACTTCCATTGGATGTTCGGGACAGGCCGTACACCGCAATGCACACCCCCGTAGGCCAGTTGCAGATGCAGGTGACCCCTATGGGCTTCACAAACGAGGTAGTCGAAGTGCATCGGAGAATGCTCGCCGTAGCCAGGGACATGTTCCCAGAGAAGTGTGAGCCCTACATCGATGACAACCCGATCAAAGGCGCCCAAGAGAAGAACGAGACGAAAGTCCAACCGGGAATCCGAAGATTTGTATGGGACCATCTACAGGACATCAAGGACTTACTTCGCCGGTTTCTAGTATACAACATCACGGCTAGCGGACCTAAGAGTATTCTAGCAGTACCAAAAGTAACCATATTAGGGTTTCGCTGTGGCGCATACTGTAGGAAGCCTAATCCGGCGAAGACTGACCAGATATCGCAGTGGCCGAGCCCCTGTGCACGACAACAGAGGTAAGAGCATTCTTAGGCGTGGTCGACTTTTGGAGGATTTTCATTAAAAGCTTTGCGAAGATTGTTGAGCCTATCCAGGCCATGATCAGAAAAGAAGGGACTATGGATTGGACGGAGGAGCGGGAAGGAGCCGTCCAAACCCTCAAGGATATACTGACGTCTGAGCAAGTCGCCTTGTCCGCACCCTGCTTTAATGACGAAGTGGGACGACCATTCATCCTAGAAATGGATGGAGGACCCTTCGCCGTGGGAGGCGTACTGATTCAAAGGGATGAGGAAGGAAAAAATAGGCCAATTAGGTTCGAAAGTAGAACCCCGAACTCCGCAAAACGGCGGTACTCACAGTTCAAGAAGGAGGTCCTAGCCATCTTGCATTGCCTTAAGACCTTTCAGGCCTACCTGTTTGGAAGGCGGTTCATCCTAAGGATCGATCCGACGAATGTCGTAGGGGCCTTAAAGAATTACAGGCCTATAGATCCGACGGTGGGGAGATGGGTAGGATTTATCTGGCAGTTCGATTATAAGATCGAACGGATTGTTGGAATCAGAAACAAGGCCAATGGGCTGAGTCGGGTCTGCATCACTTCCGAAGGAGTGGAGGATGCGGAGCCCATAGACGCATTTCTCAAATACGAAGGAGGAACTCTTGCGGTGGATAACGAAACGATGGGCGAAAAATGCGCGTCGGGAGAACTGCTGATCCGGACTTTGGAGAAAGGGGCACCTGCCGTAGTAGCAGAACTTAGAGAAGGACCAGTCACCACTCGAGGTCGCAAAGAGGAGAAAGATTCGTGGGGAGCGATAGTAGGACTAAAGGAGGAACTAATAGCAATGGCGGTTGAGGGAGGCCACAAAGCCGTGATGAGCTTATTGGAATCTTGGGAAAGAAAAGAGTTGAGGTGGATGGTAAACCAGGTGCAGGAGAGAAAGGACGAGGACCAGAAAGGGAAGGAGTTTTTCTATGCCCAGATATACGAAGTGATCTTTCGGGATGTTGGGTTGTTGCTGGTAGGAAACAAACAACCTATGGAAGTCAGCATTAAAGCAAGGGAGGTGGCCGAGAGGTACGTCCTAAGGGGCGGCCATCTGTTCCAAAGAGAGGAAGGTGCTATGCCTAGAAGAGTTGTGTGCGGGAGACGTAAACAGTTGGACGTGATCCAGGCAATGCACGACGGACTAGCAGGAGGACATCGATCGTCCAAAGGAACCCTTGCGAAGATAACGCCACTCTATTATTGGCCAGGCATGGTTGCCACGTACTGCCAGACCTGCCTAATATGCCAAGAACGGAGCTCGGCACGTATCTTTGAGCCGCTTAGACCAACGCGGGTGGTAGGGCCGGGACATCTGGTCCACCTTGACCTTGCGGTCATGCCTGTATCAACGGATGGGTACAGGTATATCCTGGATGCGCGAGACAACTTGAGTGGGTTCGTGGAGGCGGTCGCTCTCAAGAAAAAGACAGGGAGAAGTGTAGCGGACTGGATAGAAGACTTCTACTTGAGGCATTCTTTCGTCAAGAGGTTTATAGCGGACAATGGGATAGAATTCGTGAACCAGGAAGTATTGGGAATGCTTAATAGGCTTCACGTGCTGATCAAACTCATCGAGCCATATCACCCGGAGGCCAATGCACCTGTGGAAAGAGGGCACCGAATTAAAGAACATGATTGCGAAGCTCGCAGCAGACTATCTGGGGAGCTGGCCTAGGTATCTTAAGTAGGCTGTCTTCTCGGAGAACATGACACCTAAGAGGACAACAGAATGTATCCCAGCAGAACTTTGGTATGGAAGAGAAATCGACTTTCCCGTGGAAGCCTTGATACCTACCTGAAACATATTAGATGATGATCCGCGAATGACTACGAAAGAGTCAATCGAGGCGAGGTGTCAACATGTCCTTAAGAACGAGGAGGTCATGGAAGACGTCGCCAACCGGGTACTAGACAGCAGAATGAGGGACAAAGCAAGGTGGGACCAGGTTAAGAATGTCAGAAAGGAGCCACTTCAGGTAGGGGAGACAATATTGCTAAGGAACTCGACACTAGAAAGTACTTGGTCTGGACAACTGGGGAGGAGGTTCAAAAGCCCCTACCGGGTCGCCAAGCGGGTGAGTCTGAACACCTTCGAGCTGGAAGATCTAGATGGAATTGGATTGAAAGGACCCTTCCTGGGGCAACGATTGGTCAGGTTTCTAAGTCGGGACCCGGTGGAACAATGGCTTTAGGAGGCCGAGGATAAGGAAACTGAGGGGCTACAAGCTGAGGACTGAGAATGGCCTTGCCCACACTATGATTTGTCTCTAACTGCGTCCGTGGGACTGTCATTTTTTGGGGCTGGGGCAATGATTTGGACTGACTGAGGTTGGAAGGCAAAATGACTTGGGATTTTGCGATAACGGGTTTTGTGTGACGAGGGGAAAGATTGTCGGGAGCATTGTATCATAGTTTTTGATGGGAAAATAATGGGATCATCACAAACGGGGCATTTGCATGAGAGAAGGAAATGTATAATAGTGGCTTGATGCGAAGGATACTGGGAACATTCTGGGGAAGGGGGGCTGCCTACCGGACTGGGGAAATGGGTGTATGGGGGGTTGGCGGGTGTTGTTTTGTTATACAGGACCAAGAAGAAAAAAAACACAAGAAAAAGTAAAAATGAAATTCGGCAATGAGAATGACAGCGGGGCGATCAACAGGCCTATCGGAGGGGAAGAAGCGGGCCCAAGTCGAGGGAGGAGGACAGCAAAGAGAAAGTTGTATATAGGGCTCATATCCGGGCAAGTGGTAGGCAGGGGTGCGAGAAAGCGCGTGTGTAGAGGACCCTCGCCCCTCCGGAAGGGAGAAGGTATATATATCCCATCCGACAGTGAGAGCGAGGAACAGAGGGCGAGTGTGGGAGAAGGGGGCAAAGCAGATATGAGAGAAAAAGTTCAGGCCACTGACGAGGAAGGGGCTGAGAAATGTGGGCAGCGTGAGTCTTAGCGCGGGGAAAGCGAGGGGAGACAGGACATGCACGACGAACGTGAGGATGGGGAGGAAAGAAGGGAAAGCCCGCTTGAAGAGCGGAGCGGCCACAAAAGTTGTGAGGGGAGGTATCCGGACTTTGAAGAAGGATATGGAGGGAGGACAAAGGTTCCCTATAGCTACGATCCAAAGATCTTGACGGGTGGGTACAGCCCCATACAGACGGAAGAAGAGGAGGATGAGGAGGATGAGGAGGAGGAAGTACAGGAGGTCATAGAGATCAGCAGTGGGGATGAGAAGGATGAAATCTCGAGGCCTAGAGAAGAGAGGCGGCCCCCGATACACCAGCCGCGCGAAGGGGCCTCCAGATGGGAGGATGAGTTTGGGCCAGCGCCCAACCATTGGTTTCAACAGTGGCTCAGTGTGATCAAGCACGGGTTGATTATCGAGACTCGGGAACTCACAAAGGCAGGGGTGGTGACCAGACCTTTGGATTTCTACAGCGAGATAGAGTTACGAGAGATTGCAAGAAGAAGGAGAGAAATCATGGCCTCCGGCCTGGGGGTAAAAGAGCCAGCAGAAAAACAGGACGAGCAAGAGAGCGAGCGAGTTGAGGCACATGGCAGCAATAGGGATTAGATGTTGATTAAGTGTTGGACAAGAAATTGCGATTTCTTTTTTTTGCACATATGGAATAACAGGGTTTGTATAGTATGAGTAAGCTTGTGAGGAATGCGGGATAAAAGGATGAGCTAAGACTGTGTCACGATGAGTTAGAAGATAACATTTTGAGGGTCATTCCAGTTCATTCTCAATCAACCTTTCTCAATCAATTATGAGTTAGAAGATAACATTTTGAACTGGAATAGGCACTCGGGTCCTCTGCATAATTGATTGAGAAAGGTTGATTGAGAATGAACTGGAATCAACAATGAGAGATGGAAAAGGCCGGTGGGTTGACTGGAATCAATTATGAGTTAGAAGATAACATTATGAGTTAGAAGATAACATTTTGAAAGGACGAGCTAAGACTGTGTCACGTAGAGGGGCGGCGCGACCGTTTGGGATGGACCAAGGCTGCTCGCATTAAGTTGAGCGACACTGTCCAAAGGGAGGGGTCAGGCGTGGTACCAGGTGGAAGCCACAACCACCACAGGGCGAATGACACCGCCCTGCCGGATCATTACAACCGTTCCGAGACTAACCGCGAGGTTTTCGTAACTGCACTCGCAAACTAATTGAGAGCCCCAACTCTCTTGAAAAGAATAGGGCGGATCCAAGAAAACACCACTCGGGAGGAACGATTCGCGAGAAAGCCTTTACGGCAAGACGGGGTCCTGAGAGGTTTTGGACTGGACCTACCTGCCAGATATGAGGAGGTACCTCAGTGATGACGCCCGTCTCGTAAGCGGCAAAAGGTCGGACTAAGTAGAAGGATGAGGTGTTACCTGCCGAGGAAGGCCTGATCACCCTTTTTTCTAGGAGCAGATGGGCCGTTGTTTTTGACTCTGTTGGTGGGGCAATGTCTACGTACCTCCGAGTGAAAACCAGCCTTGCGATAGGGACATCGCATTTTGAGTGGGGGGAAGGTGTGCCATCTACCGATGTAAAAACGTGCAAAAGATAAGGTTACCATGAACTCAAGAAATTGTGTAATTGACTTTGTGCAGGCTTGAGAAAAGGTCTGGCAAGATGTCTAGAAGAAAAATGCTTGTGTAATTGACTTTGCGCAGGCCTGAGAGAGGGCCTGGCAAGTTGTCCAGAAGAAAAATGCTTGTATAATTGAATTTGCGCAGGCTTGAGAAAAGGTCTGGCAAGATGTCCAAAAGAGAAATGGATGAGTAATTGACTTTGCGCAGGCTTGAGAAAAGGTCTGACAAAATGCCGAGAAGAAAAATGTTTGTGCAATTAACTTTGCGCA